CGCTGAGAGCTCCCTCTCGTTTCTTTGCTCCTCAAACACTCGGGTGCTTGTTGTGGCTGGCACGATGTGATTGTGGGGCCAGGCAGTGCCAGGCTGTGCCAGCAGCCCCCGTCCTGCGGGCACGGGGCCGAGGAGGCACCGGCAGCTCCTGGTGGGGATGGAGCCGTGTGGGTGACGTCCCCGTGGCCATCGGTAGTGCCCGAAACTGGGATGCTCCTCGCTTTGGGGTCCTTGCTCTGACAAGCTCCGCCAGGCTGCCGGCTGTGAACCCAAGCTCGGGGGCTGCAGCTCTGCTCATGGCACTGCTGGGATCCTGGCTTTGGGGTCCTGGCTTTGGGGTTCCTGCCACTTCTGGCAGCGCTCCCCGGCACAAACCCGGCTTCCAGCCGCTCTCGGAGGAGCCTGGTGGCGCTTTAAGATCTGCAGGGTTTTTAGAGATCACAAGAGGGGTTAGAGAAAATTACCCTTGACTCTTACATGCTAATGTAATCTCTAACCAGATCTGCAGCGCTGCGACTAAAATTGCTTTTTAGATTAACATTTAATTATTAACAGGGCCCCCTGAAAGGCCCGGGGCTGGAGCGCGGAGGGGAGCGGGGGGCGCGCGCGGCTCGGCCGGCCCCGATGGAGACGTTTGCCAGGCGAGGGGAAGGTCGCGGGCAGCCGGCAGCAGCACGCCGTGCTTTATTGCTGCCCTCGGCAAGGTGTCGTCAAACTTCTCCTTTTTTATTTTATCTCGTGCTCCCCGTGATTTACCGCGGGGTGACCTTTCCCGTGTTAGCTCCTTCCCGCACCGGGCTGTGGGTGCCGAGCGGGGCGTCCTTCTGCCCCCGCTGCGGCCACTCCTCCCTGCTCAGGGTTGAGCAGAAACCTCCCGCCTGTGCCCAGGGGTCCCCATCCCTGTCCCTGTTCCCATCCTTATCCCCATCCCTGTCCCCATCCCCACTGTCACTGCCCTGAGCCCCCAGTGGCTCCTGAGGTCGCCCCGTGCCCGCTGCCGTGCTGAGCTCTGCGAGTGGCTCATTTACAAGGCTCCGTAGCATCCCTATTCCTACTCCTCCTCACCTCCCGCTCCCCCAAATCCCCTCTTTATGGGTTTTTTATCCCAGCTGGCCCCCGTTTCCCAGCCAGGCCGCGTGCTAGGGACGGGCAGCGCGCTCAGCTTCGTTAGCGCCCGGGCAGGGATGCGCACGCTGCGGCGGCAGACACGGCCCTTTCTTCTCCTAACAAGAGGCCAGCTTCTGCAGTCCCCTTTATTCATTGTTCTGCCGAGGCGAGCGGCACAGACCCAATTCAGGCTGAGACTTTGAAAGTTCCCTTTCTTCCCCCCCCCTCCCCGCCCCCCCTCCCGTCACATTTTCTTTTATCTAAATCCTCGCCTATGAAAGCCTCTATCGACAGCTGCGCTGGCCTTATCTCGCTGGAGGGACCTTCGCGGGGCTCTCGGAGGAGATAAGACCGTCTTATCGGCCTCTGATGTCAGAGAAGGTGCCAAACCCTTCTGTCATTGGAGCTTTAGACACAGAGGGTTTTTTTTTTTTTTTTATTAAAGTCACAAAGACCTTGGGTTTATAAATAGTCCGATGGAGCGATAGGGCCTCGAAATTAGCAGGCTGGGGGCGGGGATGGAGGCAGTGCGAAAGGGGCTGGGGAAGGAGAAGGAGGAGGAAGAGGATGGTGGGAGCTGGAGGGGCGCAGGGACGCTGTCCCCCTGCCCCGGGCCCCGTGGTGCTGCCAGCTCCTGATCCCGACCACGGGAGCTGGGGACGGTGCCGGGTGACGAGCGGTGCCGTGCCCTGTGCCGGCACCGTCTCACCGCGGTGACAGCACCTGCTGGGGCCTCGCTGGCTCGGGGCCAGCCTTGTCCTTGTCCCCATCCCAACAGCCCCCGGCAGCGTGGATGGAGCAGTCCCCGGGCTCTTGGCACGAGCATCACGGGGCTGTTGGGGCCGGGGGGCTCTTCAGTCCTCACCCCATTACCCCCCCTGACTCGGGCTGGTGGCGGTGCCGTGGCAGCTCCGGGCTCAGCGGTGCCACGGTGCCCCCAGCCCCAGGGCCATAATTGAGGGCTGGGCAGAGGCCGTGCAAACTCAGGGGCAGGGCAGCCAAAACTGCTGAGTGTTGCCTTTCTTGCCGTGAAAGAGCCAGAGCAGCTTGAACTAAATCGGATCCTGCTGATTGGAATTAGTTCAAACGCAGATGGAGCTAACTAAGCTGGCGGTAAGCGTTGGGAGAGCGCAGCGTCCAATTCCCATCAGCTGATTCAAGGGCTTTTCTGGGCGGCATTAACCAAATGCCACGGAGCGGACAGATGCCTATTGTGCGGGGGGCCCGGCCCCCTGCTGCCTGCGGGGCTGGGGGGCACGGGGTCGGGGTGCTGAGCCTGCACCCGAGGGTGCTGCAGGGCTGGGGGGGGGTTGGGGGCTGAGCGGGGCCGCGCGTGCCGAGCCGGGGACCTCGGCAGTTATTAAGCGTGCGCATTAATATGGGGTGAAGCTCAGCTTAGCTGTCTAAAAAATTGTCTCTGCTAAGAGCTGCGTGACACCGGGCGACGGGGGCAGAGCTGTGATGGGAATTAATCGCTGCCTTTATTTAGCTTGGCGTGTGGCTCCCGCGCCGGCGCGGCTGCAGCGCCGCTGCCCGGGGTGCGCGGTGGGGGCAGAGCCCTGCGGTGTCCCCAGGGGGGGTCGCGGTGCCCTACAGGGGGTGGCAGCCCCCAAAGGGACCCCGGCTTGTGCCTGCAGCAGGGGCAGGACCGTGGTTTCATCCTGCCCGGATTTGGGGCTGCTCGGCCTCCCCGCTCGCTGCTCCTGTGGGTTTGGGGTCATCCTGCTCTCAGCTCCTGTCCCCGGAGGGGCAGCGGATGGGGGACACCCCGCCGTGACCCACAGCTGTCCCCACTGCCACCGTTTTTGGCCGTTTTTATGGTCTCAGCCTCGTGCCAGGGCCTGACGTGGCACGTGTCCAGCCACCCATGATGGGGCACAGGGACAGGGACGGGGACAACGTGGCTTCCCGGGGAGGCACAGGGACAGAGGTGACATCCAGCCGCTAATCGGCCAGATGGTGACAACCTGCGGGAGGTCAGCGCGTGGGAGAGGCTCGGGATGTGGCCGGGGGGTCCCTGCCCAGGGCCACCCCACGGTGAGGACGTGGCCAGCACCGAATCCAGGCCGGTGGCTGCGCGCCGGGAGCGGGGCTGCGCAATGAGCCCCCGGTCCCGGCGGGGAGACGCGAGCTCCCGAGCAGTCAAGTGCGCTCAGCCTGTGAATAAGAAGCACTTCATTCTCTTTTCAAACTGTATAATTTCTGCCTGATTGTAATGGCATATTTTAAAATTACCAGAAATCGAAGCCAGAAAATGGATACGGCTGCTTTTACTGCGAGCTGCATTAACAAAGGATATGTAATGCGCGAAATAAAAACACCTCCCTGCCCCCCTCCTCCTTTTTTAAGACAGTAATAGGAGAAAATTGGTTTTGAAACTGAATAAAAGTCCTTTTCAGAGGAAATCATTTCTTTCAGGGTACCTTTGCTGAAAGTAAAATAGTGAATAATGAAAGGTGGTTACATGATTGTCTTTCATTTAGAGAGCGCTAGGACAGATGGAATCTGGGAGAAATGCAAGATTGGAATAATTGCATGGTAACAAGGCGCTTGTTGTGAAATTAGTATCTTAAGAAAGTAGTGAAAAAGGCTTTTACTCATGAATACTTCATTATTAGGAGAAAACAGCACAATTTGGGTTCTCCAGACACCTGCTCGGTATTAAATGACTTCCTCCTCCCCTCCTGCTCCTCACACCTTGCTCTGACGACTCTCTCCATCTCCCAAACTTTGCAGCGGGGCCGGCCGGGCGCCGCCGTGTCCCCGCAGCCCAGGGGCAGGACGGGAGCTCCGGACCCCAAACCCCGTGGTGGTGGCAGCCAGGAGCGAGCAAGCGCGCGTCTGAGGCCATTTGTCAGCTCGGAGGGGAAGGCGAGCAGTTCCCAAGAAGGCCTGTCCATTGTGTGCAGGGAAAAAAAAAAGACATTTCTGTAATCGCTCAGACGCGGCCGGTAACCAGGTCGTGCTGTCGGGCAGGATGGGGCCGGGGCTCGCTGGCTTTGTGGGTCCCCATTGAGCCCCTCTTGCTGGGTGCCCCTGGGCGATGCTGGTGGGGAGGTGCTGGGGGTCTCCTGCCCTCGGCTCCAAACTGGGGGGCACATCACCAAGCGGTGGTGGTGACCTGCTGTGCCAGCACGTGCCCAAGGCCACTGCGCCGCCCCCACGCACCCCGGCACCTCAGTGCAAGCAGCCACCCCGCAGGACCCCTGAGCACCCCGGGCAGGCAGGATCCCATCCGCAGGACCCGGCAGGAGGACGATTCCCTGAGATGGAGCAGCTAAAGAGGATGCATCCGCCCTGCCATGCAGCCCTGACACCCAGCCAGCAGAACATTTCGGCCAGGAGAGCGATGGATCCAAGGACGGGCACCGCAGCCGTGTTTGTGCCTGCGCTGGGCTCCCTCGGGATGTGCAATTAGCAGATCGTTGGCGGAGATGACTTTGGCCTGACCCCTCCAGCTCTTCCTGAGCAGATTTTGATGCATCCCACGATCCCGAGTGGGACTTTGACGCCCGTGGGCTGGGTCCCTGCAGTGCGGTGGGGAGGACATCCCGGTGGCAGCTGCTGCTGTCCCCAGCCCGGGTTCAGGACTCGGGGCGCACGGCGCTGGAGCTGTGCCTCGAAGGAGGATGGGGAGCGGCTTGGTTTCCTGCAGGAAGAGCAGAGAGCGACGCAGGGAGCACAGATCACCCACCGAGCCCTTCATATTTATTTTATACATCTTCATATTTATTTAAGGCTTCCATAGTTATTTATTTATCTCCAAAAGAGCAAAGGCCCCTGCGCAGCGTGCGCACCGGCGGTCGGCGCAGGAGCTCCCAGCCTCTGCTGTGCGCAGACTTTGCCCAGGCGGCGCGGGCAGGGGGCACGGGAAGTGTTTGTGGGAGGTGGGCACTGGGTGGGGGGCACGGGCAGAGGGTGCTGGTGGCCGGTGCCCTCCTCTGATCGCCAGTCTCCTTTCTCTCGGCAGCACGCGGGGCGGCGGCGCGGCCGGCCAGGACACCCGGACCATGCTGGCGTGCCTGCAGCGGACCCAGAACCCCCCAGGCCAGCACCTCGCCTGCCCCAACAAGGCCCTGGAGCCACGCAAGTGTAAGTGGTGGGGTGGTGGGGAGGGCACACGCATGGCATCGCCCGCTGCCCCCCCGGCACCGGGATGCGCCGGGGTCCGAGCCCCTCCGGAGCCGAGCCTGCGCCCGGCTCCTGCCCACCCTGGGGCGCCCGCGCCTGTTCCCTGCTTTGATGCTTCTTGTCTTATTGGAAAAGACATTCATTTAACTGATAATTAAAAAGAGCAGGAGAAGCGGGGTTATGGGGGGGGGATGGGGAAGGAGACGAGATAAGCAAATTAAATTGGGTTGCTCGGGCTGATAAGTGGAACTTCGGAAAATTTTGCGCGGCTGCCTGCAAAGCGCGGCGGCAGACAAAGCTCCAGGACCTGCTCCGCAGCCTCCCGAGCCCCCGAAGCCTCGGCGTCCTCCCCTCCCTCCCTCCCGTCCCTTCCCCCCCGTAATTACTTTCCCAGTTTTGCTGCAGCTCGCCTTCCCGACGAGCTGGCCTTTCAGATAAGCTGTAAACTAGTTACATTAAAATGGGTTCCAAAAGGTCACTCCAGTAAAGCACCTGTCTCTCCCAGCCTTTGTCTCTCAATCCAAACCATGATTAAATGTATATTTAATGAGCCTGCTTTAGGCAGGCGTGTTTGACCTCCCCGGCTGGGAAAGACGCATTAAGATTCTCAAGTGATGAATGTGTGTTTTAAAGAGGGGAGTGGATATTTTTCTGCTGGTCTCAGTTGGATTTTTAAACATTGCAGGCTGAAGACAAATCAGCTGCTAAAGCTCGGCTTGTTAGTGTGTGACAGCCCCCAGGCATTTGTTTAATGATCTGGATTTTCCCACAGACATTTTTCCCCTTTACCTGGGCACCCTGGCACGGGGTGGCACCGGGTTTTGCCCGGTGTTTGGCCTGACCCCGGGGTCTCACTGGGGGGGCCAGGGTTTATTTTCTGGGTGAAGCTCCCCAGCCTCGAGCGCGGTGTCGTGGCCGGCCAGGAGCTCACCCCGGGCAGAGGCATGCAGTGGGATCACTGGTGGGGACGTGCTGGTGCCTGCAGGGCCTTGGTGGTCTGGGGTGGATGGGGTCTGTGCCCCCCGAGTGGTTTTTGCACCCAGGGACCCGTTGGGATTTGGGCTCCCCGGGGGCTCGGCGAAGCGGGTGGGCGAGCGCGTGGCCCCGCACGTCCGTGTGCTCGCCTTGAATCCAAGCTGGCGGTGCCGCTCGAGTCTCCTTCCTATTAGTGTCTGGAAGGAAAATGAATGTTGCTCTTGTAAAATTATTCCTAATCCGTCATGCCTGAGCAGCGGCGCAGGGGCTGGCGCGAGGGCTCCGGCTCCCGGCGCTCCTCGGTGCCATGTGCTAACGAGCTCGGCTGTGCCCACAAGGACGGGACCCACAACGAGGAGCCTGCCGGGGTGTCCTGGGCACCCCACAGGTTTGGCACCAGGCTCTTTGTGCTGCACCCCACAAGGTGCCAAGGTCAGGATGCGCCCCCCCTGTTCCCACAGTGTACCCAATGCCCGGTGGTGGCTCAGAGCTGGGGGTGCCTCAGCCCATGGGACACGACGCCGTGGAGCATCCCCCGGGGGGACCCCAGGCCAGCAGGGACCACACAGGGACCAGGGGGTGGCCGATTGTGCCCCCACCCCTGGGGCAGGACCGTGCTCACCCTATATCCCTGGGGTTTTTCCCCCCTTGCCCCGGTGCGGGCCGTGCCTGGCCGCTGCTCCCCCAGCGCGCTCGCTGCCGGCCAGGTCACCTTAATCAAAGTTTAGCTGACCGTACGTTTCCGCTCATTATGGGAAAATGCAGCATGGCTCTCTCCTCCCTGCCTCCTGCTATTTCAAATTAAATTGCAGGTGACATTCAGGGCCACGCATCTGGGGTTGAATACAATTTTCCCTTCCTTATTTATGGCACCTGCGGTGCGCGGGGTGGCGAGGAGCCGCCGGGCTCGTCCCGGCCGTGGGGCCGAGCCTCCCGCTGCCCCCCGAACACCCGCCGAGGTACTGGGAAAAGAGAGCGCTCCCTTAAAACGAGGCACAATTTAGAAGTGCCTCTGATTACTTAATTTGCTCCTGAGTATCTCAGTAATTATCTTTATGGGTCTTATTTCTGTCCTCTGGCATTGTTTCTGTCGATATTAAATGAGTCTGGCTCTCGGCACGCTGGCCGTCTGGCCCAGCACCGCTGTGAAATCCTATTACCCTGCCGGTGCCGCTGATTAATTTTTGTATTAATTTCACGTAAAAGGTGAGCTGACTAATTTTCCTGCCCGTGCTGGGAGCTGAGGGCCCCGGCACCTTCACCCCATGGCCCTGCCCTGCGTTCCCCCTCGCTCTCCTCCCTATTCCTCTCCCCGCTCCCGGTGCGTTGGTGCCCCACTGCTCCGGCACAGCCAGCCCCAAGCGGGAGCATCCCAGTAACTGCTGGGGGTGACTGCACCCCAGTACTGGTGGCAGAGGCTGGTTTCCCTCACCAGGAATCCCAATCCGTGCCCTGAGCAGGGGAAGCAAAATGTCCCAGTGGGCATAAAGGACATGGAAACCCCCAGCTGGAAACCATGGAAAGAAGGACGGGGCTTTGTGGGGTAGCCAGAAACGGGGTGGGTGAGGGCGAGAAGCTCGGGGACCCCTCGGGCTGCGTGGGTGCCGTGGCACAGGGAGGATGAGGAGGGCTGAGCCCCGCAGAGGGCTGCAACGAGGCCGTGTCCTTGCTTTGATGCATCCACGGGGCCGTGGAACGAGCCCACCTGTTCCATGCGCATCGCGAGCTTTGCTGAGCTGGGCTTTCTTCCTCCCCGCCTGCTCCCTTTTTTATTTTTCGCAGGTGCTTTTTAGCAAGACGAGATAACAAGTGCCATTTGTTTACCCAAGCCTGCTGAGGAACAAAAGGGGGCTGAGGCGCTCACATCAAACGCTGCTTTTTTTTTTTTCCATAAACGTCATTTTGGCGTGGTTGTTGGATTCGGAGCCCAGCCCCGTTGGGCACGGATTTTGGGGAGGCTGGGTCAGGCTCCGGAGGGCTCGGCGTCAATGCGCACGCCCCGGGACGCACCCACGGAAACTCAGCCCTGAGTGATAAAACTGTTTAATTGCATCCGGGATAAAACCACATTTAATGGCTTCTCATTACCCAATTCTACTGATTCCAAGGGCATTTTCATTAAAGTAGCTGCAGCAAAGCTCTGCTTTTTGTACACACCCATAAAATATCATTTTAATTTCATGAGGGGTTACACATGAGTGAAATAAGATTAATTCTTTCATTTTCAGTTTCTGGAAGGGATCGGTTAATGATGGTTCTGTGTATTTATATATGTGCCATAAAAAGGAGTTCAATTAACTGCCATGCCCAAAATGTGCTGTTGACTTGCACTTTCCCTGCCAGGAAACGCTGCAGAAACACTTTTCGATCGGTCGCGTGTGCGGGGGGAGATGGATGGGTCCGGGTCCTGCGCTGGGGGGAGGCTCCCCAGGTGAGACCCCGTGGGCAGCAGGGACCCAGCCGGACCCCAGCCTCTGGGGGCGTTTGGCTCGTGGTGCCCTGACACGGGAGGGATTTTGGTTCTGCAGCCAAACTTTTTCAGCACCGCTCTTGATTTCGTAGCAGTTGTGGGGTTTTCAGCTGCCGGTGCCTTCGCTGGAGCCACGGAGGGGCTGGCAGCATAAAAAGTGTGGGTGTTAAAGATCAAAAATTAAATTAATAATAAAAAAAGTAGCAAGTACATCGCCCAAATAACAGAGCGGAGGGGCTGGGGCGAGCTGCAGGGCCCTGGTGGGGCCCCCCCTGCTCCGAGGACCCCATTGCTGGCCCTGTGGTGGGGTGGTGGCACCAGGGTGGCACCGGGGAGGATTTGGGGCAGCCTCGTGGTGGCATTTGGGGTATCCTAAAGGTGGCATCAGGGTGGCACCGGGGTAGCCTCAAGATGCCAATGGGGCAGTGTCGGGGTGGCACCAGGGTGCCATTGGGGTGGAATCGGGGTGGCACCAGGGTGCCATTGGGGTGGCACCAGGGCGTCCCCCCGCCCGCCCTCCCCGCTCCCTTTGCCCAGCTGCTGGCCGTGGCGCTGTGCGCGGTGCCGCGGCGGCGCGCGGTGCTAATACCTCGGCGAGGAGACAAATAGAAAGTGACACATGTGTGTGTAGACTGGTATTTGTGGTGACGCTTTGACTGCAGATAATAAAGTGCTCGCCCTGAGGTGATCCAATTCAGCAAACGCCTCGGCAAAGCCGCGCGCTCCTTCAAGGGAGAGAATAAAGGGGAGGAAAAAAGGCCCGTCTGAAATGACATGTCAGCCTAAAAAGGGAACGTGTTAATGGATGAATATCTCGGGATGGCAAAGCCCTGCTCTTCCCTTTGTGCTTTGTCATGAATTTTGTTGTCTTTGCACATTACGGCTCCTGCGCGGCTGCCGCTCGAGGTTTGCCACCTACGTTTATTCAGATGGATTTCTCCGGCTATTATTCCTGGAGTTGGTTTTAATTTAAGCCCTCGAAGCCGCTCTGCATTTTTCTCTCGGCTCCTCGTGCGGGGGCTGCTCTGCTGGGGGGGAGGCTTTTGTCCCGGCACCGCGTGGGGCTGTGCGGCAGGGCTGGGGTCCTGCAGGGGTGGGGGCTCCTGCAGGTGGGGCGCAGCCCTTTTTTGCTGCCCCCCCCGGCCACCCCAGGTGGCCACGCTGCAGGGGACACCGTGGGGACGCTGCGTGCCCTGAGCAGTAGCTGGCAGGGGGCCTGGGGACCGCGCAGGTGCGGGCCCCCCCCGCTGCATCCCCGCGCCGCGGTGGCCTCTGCGCCACCCATCCTGGGGACACGGTCACCATAGAAACCGCCGCACTTCAAAGGGTGGAAAATGGTGAAATCCGACAGGGAAGGGACGTGCGTGGCGGGGGGCAGCAGCACTGCCCGGCTGCGCACCCCCTGCCCGTCCCCGTGTCCCCAAATGTCCCCCCCCAGTGCCCCAGCGCCAGCCCAGGGGGGGGCTCGGTACCCACGCAGCTTCGCCAACGGGGACCCAGACCCCAGCATCATTTGTTTGTCAAACGCACCATGTTTTGTTTGTTTCCTTCCAAGTGTTGTGCAAATATTTAGGTTTCTAAAATCTGCTCGCAGCTTCGCAGCGAGATCAGGGGGCTGCGGATGGCTTTTGGAAGCGCCGAGGGCGCTGGCGCTCCCCTGCTGGATGGGGAGCGGGGCAGCATGGCCCAAACCCAGGGCGAGCTCTCGAGTCTTGCTGCATGCCCCTCGCTTGGGGAGGGCAGAGGGGAGGCTCCCGTGGCCCCGAAGGATGGGTGAGGTCCCCCACTAGCAGGGGGGATCCCACGTGGCTGGGGTGCTGCCACCGTGTCCCCACTGAGCCCTTCCCCAGGACTGCGGTGCGGCCTGGTGCCAGCCCCAAGACATCCCCCCACGCACCCCAAAATCCTCCTCGTCCTCCCCGTCCAGGGCAGGGGCACCCCAGAGCCCCTCCTGCAGCAGCACAGCCCCAGGGATGGAGCCAAGAGCTGCCGGCGTGCCGGGAGGCGCAGCCAGGCTCACCGGGGGCGCAGCCGGGCTCCTCCAGCACCCGGCGTGGCCAGGGCATCAGGGGATGGAGGAGGCTTGGTGCTTAGAAAAAGGATCCTGGAAAAGATGCTGCTTTGGTCGGGGACACCCCAGTCTCCACGGCGCAGGCTCCTGGGTTCCCCTGGGCAGCGGTGGCAGGACCCCCGCGTGTCTCCGGTCGCGCATTTTGCACCGGCTTCTCCTCTCGCAGCGCGGCAGGGCTGAGGCTGCCCGAATCCATAAACAAAGATTTATTTCGGATTGCAGCGTTGTTGGGGTCTAGGATTTAAATCTGTGTCTTGAACCGAGTTTGGTGGCCAATTTGCTAAAGTAAAAAGTTGTTTAGCTGGAGGCGTAATCTTATAAGCCTATGCTGCCATTATAATGGCTTCTCATTTCTGCCTAGCTTTCCAATAATGCTTTGAGCAGAAGCTCGGAGTAATATAAAAAGCCATAGGATTATTACTGCGGGCGATGCATTTTCCATTTACAGTAATAAAATACTGAAGAAACAAAACAATTTAAAATTCCAATAAAATTCAAAACAAATCTTTGGCTGCTGAGCAGATTCAATTATTTAGCTGTTATTGAGTGCAGGCTGGAAAAATAGAGCAGGTCAGGGAGGGAGGGGGGACCCAGAGCTGGCTGCGTGTCGCCTTCACCCAGGAAAAGGCGAGCGGAGGTGGGAGATGGCCCGTGGCCGGCGAGAGCATCTGCTGGGAGAGGGGATGAGCGGTGGGTGTCGCAGGAGGCTGGGGCTGGCGCCACCATCTCGGTGTTGCCCTTTGAGCTCCGGCGAGGTCGGAGAGGCTCAGGAGCTCCAGGAGCCAGGGATGCTCACTGGCAGCGAGCCCTCGCTGAGCCCGTTGTGATTCAGGAGGAAGCGAAGGTGAGAAAAAAGCAGGGGAGCAGCCACCACCGCCTGCCCTGCTCCCGTGGCAGCATCCCTGCTGGTGGGTGGCACCGGCACCGCTCACCGGGGGAGCGCACGAGCTCTGCGCCGGCACAGGGGGGGTTACAACGCGTGCCCCCACCCTCGCCGTGACGTCCTCGACGTTTCGGGTTCAAGAGGAGGAGGGGGGGGGGAAAAAACTGCCGGCGACCGGCTGAGCATCAGGCGGGCTGTCTGCGCCTGACGGGTGACGGCGGTGATTCGGGAGAGTTTGCATCTCGCAGTAATTACAGCCCGTTAGAAAGCAGTAATTACTCCGGAGAGGGGGAGCCGCTTACCAGCAGCGCGCACGAGCGCGCCAGGAGCCTCTTGGAAATTGGTAGCTCTGTAATTTTCCCAGTGGGGGTTTGGTGCGTCACCCTGATATGTGACAACACACTGAATTTGTGACTTGTCACATCCAACCCAGCTGGTGTGAAGAAGGCGACAAAGGAGGCTCCTCGCTTCCCCCCTCGGCTCGCTCGCAGCCCCCCGTGCTCCCCCAGCGGGGCGATGCCACCGACGTCGCCCACGGCCACGGCACTTGGGGACGGGGCTTGGAGTCTCCGGCAGCGAGCGGGGGTGCACGTGGGGCCACTCCGCTCCCTCCCCCATCGATGGCCTCTTTTTTAATTCTTTTTGCTCAGAAAGGAGCATTTTCCTCCCTCCGTGGAACGGGTTCATTAGGGATTCTGCGAGTGTCACCAGCTAATTAGTGTCATGTTAATTGAGTATTCGCGATGCTGCCACCTCCAAGGACAGCGGTGCCGGCATGAAGGGGAATGCAGACGTGCGTCGCTCGCGGTGCCGGCGGCCGTGCCGCTGGGCAGAGCCCCCCGGCTCGCTCCCAAACCCATGGATCAGGGGGATCCATGATCCCGGGGGGGTTTTAACCCAGCACGGGCGATGCCCCAAGGCCGGGGAGGTGGTGGAAGCACCGCGTGCCCCGTGGCAGCCTGCCTGGGTTGCTGCGTGCCTGCGCCCTGCCGTACGGAGCCGCGGGCGCAGCCTCTCCCAGCAGCTACATTAAATCCTGCTCAAAGGCCCCGGTTTTAATTGGCTTAATATACTCGTTAATAACAATGTCTATTTAAGACACCTGTAAAAAGCCCATAACATTAACTTAATGGGAGAAATGGCTGGTGAATGCGCTTCCATTCTGCCTTTTAAATTACTGGTACATCGCCGTGATGGAGAGCACTGAGAGCAGCGGCGGCCGGCCCTGGGCTCGCTCCCCGCACCCCTGGGGCTGCTCCTGCTCCTCCACGGGGGTGTTGCACACCAGGTCCTTGAGGTGTGAGTGCCCCAACCTGCCCCTAAATACTGCTTTTAATGCCAGGCTTTGCTCTTACAGACACACGCATGCATGCGGCGAGGTCGGAGCAGGACCGAGGCAGGCGTGGTCACCCCATTTAATGAATCCACCCTCGTTAGGTGCGCCTCATGGCACAGCTCTTCCACGGCGACCTTGACCCCCAGCCTCCCAAATTGCCTGGCAGTGAGGGGCAGGGTCCCTGGGAGCACCGGGGCTCCTCGGTGGCACTTGGCCCAGGGTGGGCTGAGGGTGGCTGGTGGTTACCCAGTTGTGCCGGCAACTTTTTGGAGCAGTGGCAGTGCTCGAGCTCCCTTCACGCTGGGAGAAGTGGGGTTGGTCAAGGGAATGGGCACTGGACATCGCCTAGGGACAAATTTTTGGGACCTGGCCAGCTCCTCCGTGCCTAGGGCTGGTGATGTCCCCAGCCTTCCTGCCCCATCAGCCAGCCCGGGGCAGCTTCAGCACTCGGGGAGCAGAACCAGGAATGCTCAGCAGCCGTGCGGAAAGATGGGCCCATCTTCATAAAGCACGTGTGAAATGCTTATACGATGTCTTTTTCCGTGCCATTACTTTTACTGGGACTGAGGATTGCACGGCGAGGCGCGCGCCGGCTGCTGCTGCATCCCCGGCACCGTGCTTGGAGGGTCCCTGCTGCTGCCCTGTGCCACCGCCGTGGCCACGGGAGAGGTGGCAGCGAGGCAGAGGCACCGCCGTGCCGTGCTCCTTGGTGTACTCGTACAGAGCAGGGCTCCTTGCAGCCTGGGGAAAAACATATTTGGCACGCCAGGAGAAGAAATTTTGTGAAACGGAGCTGGCAGTAATGTCCCCATTACAGACAACGGCGACTCTGCTCACAGAACGGGGACATTTGTCTGCTTCGCCTCCTTTTTAGTGGTGTCACCGGTGGCTCCGTGGTTGTGCCGTTCCCAGCAGTGGTGGAAGGACGAGCACAACCTTCTGGCTGCCACCAGGAACCCGAGCCACTGGAACTGCTTGTGCCAAGCGTGTGGGCACTGGGACTGGGACCGTGGGCACCCGTGTCCCCCGGGGTGCTTTAGGAAGGATGGGGAGCCAGCGGCACCCCCCCCGTGCGCATGTGCCAGCCTGGATGTGCATGCGCACGTGTGTGTGGAGATTTTAAACACCTAATTTATTCCATCTATTAGATAGATTTTGTAGATTTAATCATTTTCACAGTTGGTGGCTCATTGGATACTCAAGATAAACTCCAAATGAAAGTATAATGGGTACGACAAATGAGTTTTCACACCAGAATGGCAGAAACTTGCTTGGGAAAGAGTTTGAAAGGAACAAAAATATATACATATATAATTTTTTTTTCTGCGGTGGCTTTTGCTGACTACAGTAGGTTACCACAGTTAATTTCACCAGTTTTGTTCATCTGTAAAATTGCATAAAAGTGACATTTTTGTGCTCATTATAGGAACTGCTGATTTATGGCTGGTAAATGCAATGCTTTTCCATTTTTGGTGAGGTTCTCGTAGCAGCGCAAAGCACCCATGAAATTGCTTGTATAATGTAGTTTAAATCCAATCTCGGAGAAAGATTCCCCCGTTGGGTAAAGTGACATTTCCATTCTCCACACCGAGTTTATTTTAGGCCACTTAGAAGTGACTTTATAAGTGAGAGGGGGCAGGTTTGTGCCGTGACCTCGTTTCTACCAAAGGCTGGCGCCGGGAGCCGGGCGGGTGGTGCCGGAGGAGAAAGAGGAGAAGGAGGAGGAGGAAAAGGAGGAGGAGGAGGAGGAGGAGGAGGAGGAGGGGATGAGGCTGAAGGCCAGCCATGGGTCCTGGGGCCGGACTGACACTGCTCTTTGCTCCTACAGGCGAGACGGCGGCACCCATGCATTCCCCGCGCTACCCCAGCCCCGCCGAGCTGGACGCCTATGCACAGAAGGTGGCCAACAGCCCGCTGACCATCAAGATCTTCCCCACCAACATCAGGGTCCCACAGCACAAGCACCTTAACCGAACGGTCAACGGCTACGACACCACGGGGCAGCGCTACAGCCCCTACCCCGTGCACGCCAGCGGCTACCAGGGCCTCCTGGCCATCGTCAAAGCCTCCGGCAAAAGCGTGGTGAAGAACGCGGAGGGGAAGCGGACTAAACTGTCGCCCGCCCAGGCCGGCGTCGCTCCCTACCCAGCCTCAAGCACTTTAGCTCCAGGCCCTTCCTGCGCCGGGCAGCTGAGCTACCACGGCGGCCAGAAGCAGCTGGAGGGCCCCGTGCCCCCCAACGTGACGGTGGCGGCCTCGGCATTGCCGCTGGCGGGCAGGAGCCTGGCGCTGCCTCCCTCCAACCTGCCGTCCATCCAGAGCATCATCTACCAGCTCAACCAGCAGTGCCAGGCCCAGGGTTCCCAACCCGCCTGCCCGGCCCTGGCGGGCGCCCACCCCAGCCCGGCCAAGCACTGGCGCCTTCCCCGCCGTGGCCTCGGCCGGAGCCTACGCCGGCGCCATGCTGCCGGACTGCCGCAAGGGAGCCGAGCTGGCGCTGGGCTCCAACCCGGCCTTGGCACCCAAGGCTGGTCTCTACCCCGACGGCGTGGACTACCTGCTCTGGCAGCAGAAGCAGCAGCAGCACCTGCGAATGTACAGCGGGGGCGGCAGCGGGGGGGCTCTCAGCAAGTCCCCCGAGGCTTGCGCCGGCGCCTCGCGCCCCTACGGGCCGGCGGCGGCGGCGGGCGAGAAGGTGAGCTCGTCGCCCTTGAACTGCATGCACGGCAACTTCTCGGTGGGGCAATACTTCGCGCCGCCCTGGAACAGCGTCCTGGTGACCCCCACCAGCGACTGTTACAACCCCCCCGAGCTGGGACCCGCTCCCCGCGAGCTCGGCGTGCTGCCGGCCGAGGGGCTGCCCAGCAAGAGCCTCTGCAACACCTCCATCCTCAGCAGCAGCCTCCAGTCGCTGGAATATCTCATCAACGACATCCACCCGCCCTGCATCAAGGAGCAGATGCTGGGCAAGGGCTACGAGACCGTGTCTGTGCCAAGGCTCTTGGACCACCAGCACGCTCACATCCGCCTGCCCGTCTACAGATAAGGAGCGGCTGCTGCTCTTCCCAAAGCCAGGGCGACGGCCGGGAGGGCGGCCGGGGGGCCTCCGGCACCGCGAGGCTGCGAGACCGTGGAGGCCAGGGCGGGGTGATGGGGGGGGGACGGGGTTGTGCTACCGAAAGGGGTCCCGGCGCCCCGCAGATACTGGCATTTAACCGGGGGTCGTCAAACTTGGATGCACCCGAAACCCGCTGGAAGCCAAGGATGAAGGAATGCTTGTCTATATAGCTCAGAAATCATTTTATTTCCACGAATGTGAACAGGGAATCGCTACGAGTTGCTGCTATCCAGGGAGAGGAGGCTCCGCTCTGGGCACGGGCGTGCGCGCGGCGGCCCCGGGGGCTGCGCCGCAGGCAGGGTCCCCGCCCGCGAGCGCCCGCGCTCACCTTTAGTTGAAGTCCATAACTTGCACTGCTTTGATTAAAGCTAATAACTGGGGACAGTCTGGAGGCTATTTAAGAAAAACACTTGAAAACTTGAACAGATTTTTTTTTTTTCTTTTTTTTTTTTAGTTGCCCAGAGCGTGCGTCTCGTGGTGGCTGCGGCACCGCCCGCCCCGCCACGGGGTGAGCAGGGGCTGGGGTCACCCAGAAAAAGTCCCACAGGGCGGCCGAGCCCACGGGACCACGCCTAAGTCTCAGATTTCCAAGGTTTGGGGTTTTTTTTTGCTTTTTTTTTTTTTTTTTTTTAACTGTCAATGATACCCTTGTTCCATTTTAGAGGCAGGCAAGGAGATGTAGGATCACATCCAGTAACACATCTCGCCACCGCGCTGGGGTGGGATTGCAGACTTCCTTTTCTTTTCTTTTTTTTTTTTTTTAAAGCAGTTCAAAACCACTCATTCTGGTCCGTTATTCAGTCTGTGTAATTATGTGTTTAATAGATTTATTCATTTAAAAAGGCTCCGCATCACAAAATACAAAGTGTTTTGATGTTTAAAGGAAAAGGAAACAATACCCCGATGGAACCCAAGGTGATTGTGCTCAGAAAAGAGGTACTGTATCCCTGAAAGGCCTGTTCAAGCACTAAGTGCATTTACAAATCTCTGAGAATGTTTTTTTTTATACTAAAATTGACCATTATATTCTACTGTGAGAAGTGCTGTCTGCACTATATTGTTTTAAAAATGAGAGAAAACAAACGAAAAAAAAAAAAAAAAAAAAAAAAAAAAACCAACCACAAAACCTGCAAGCTGTGTGTCCGGATGTTGTTTTTCCCAAAGTAAAACCAGGATGTCACTGGACGTGTGCTCTGGATTTTGTTTGCTTGCTGTGGCCTCCCCGCTGCCACCCCAGCCGGGGCGCGGGGACACCAGGACACCTCTGCCCACCCCGGCTCCGCTCCTGGCCTGGCTTCGCCCTGGAGATTTTTAGGGCATGGAGGAACACCTATAAATATCCTCCTAACCACGCTGATCCATTAATCCTGCCCCGGTGCCAGGCGAGGCACACGCACGTGTGCGGGGCCGCCCCGGTGCCGCGGGATTAGGGGCTGCGGCCCCGAGTGCACCACGCGGGCAGCGGGGGTGGGCGCTGGGACATGGGGACTGGGCGTTTGTCCCCCAGCCACTGGGTGATTCAGGCATGGCACCGGTGGCATCTCACCCCATCTGGGGTTTTCAGGTTCCCGTCCCAAGCAAAGAGCCGGTGGCACGAGGATAATAGCATTACGTCCTAAACCACGCGCCGTGCCGGCGCAGCCCCCGCGGTGCCATATGGCGCGCTGTGATCCTGCTCCGGGGACAGGCCGGGGGCTTTAGAGCTGGGACAAGAGGGCAGCCACGGCCAGGGGAGCCTGGTGTCACTTTGTCACCTTCGGACCGTGGCTCCCCGCTGGCACAGAGGGGACCGTGCCGTGCCCTGAGCTGTTCTGTGCCGTGCCAGGACGCTCAGCACCACTTCTTGTAGGATCAAGGACGGAGCCGTCACCGTCCCCGCAGCCACCCAAAGGCCACCACGGCCCCATCCACTTTGTTCCCTCTTGCCATAAGGGCAGGGTCCGTGTTCCTGCCGGTATTTATGGCTTGCCAGGAGGGGACCGCTCTGTCACCGGCAGCGCTGGCGTGACAGCCAATCAAGGGAACAAAGAGGAATTGGGACAAAAGGAATTTTTCACAGAGGTTAATGTCACTTGGGGGGGGGGGGGTGAGGGAGGAGGAGGGAGTGCCATTGCCTGCTTTGAGCATTAAAATCAGAGCATCTGGCAGAAAACGTTTGCTCAGATCTTTGTCATTAAAAAGCTGCCGCGTTCAAAGGAACGTGAGGCTGAAGCACGTGGGTGCGGGAAGCAGCGAAGGAGGGGTCCCGCTGGGCCCGGCACGGTGCGGGCTGGCGGTGCCAAAGGGACAGCTGGCCAGGGGGACACTTTTCTTCCTGCCAGGCTGGGAGCAAGCAGCAGCATCCCCACGCAGCAGGGACACCTGCCAGAGATGGATGGGGACCCAGGACTGCCCGGCGGGGACTTGCAGACCTCGTGGCCATGCTCTGGTTTCCATTCCCAAGCAGAAATCTCATTCCCAGCATCACCACCCGGCGCTGAGACCAGGCTGGGGCTGTGGTAGCCGGGACTGGCCCCTTCCCCTGCCCCTGCAAAGGGGCTTAAATGGGAGCGGGGCAGTGCTCAGGAGGGCAGAGCAGGGTGCGGGGCTCCCCCGTGCACTCACACCCCCCTCACACACACCCACCCCCGTGTACGTGCCTACAAGTGGCCTCCCTGGGGGCTCGGGGCCCCAGCAGAAACTTCTCTGCTTGCAGTTTCCCCACGAGGGGGGATTCGTTAGCGATGCCGCTATCATATTTACCACCTCGCTATAAATCAGGGCGAGCGGCTGGGAGCGATGGCTCGATTCATCTTGCGGGTCTCGAAGTCATTACATTTCATTAGGAGGTGCTCCGGGTTTTTATTATTTAGCAGTTCCATTCGCCCCTCGGATAGATCCGTCACCGGAGGAGGATTTCACTCTACACGGGAAGATTTCAAATGTGTAATGCAAAATAAATGTGTCCCTCGTTAGCAGCCGCCCACCTCCATCAAGCCCTCACCCTGCGGAGCTGGATGGGAGCAGGCACCCGAAACAGGGGGGGATACGAATGGGGATGGGGCAGGGGCTCACCGAGATGCGTCCCAGCACCCCTGGGCAAAGCCACCTCCACCACAGCACCCTCACACCGCGGTGGGGAGGACGATGCCCTTTCTGATCCGCCAAAATCTTCCTATTAAAATAATAATGCTCATTTTTAAGGCAGGCGCACGCGAGGCTGATATTAAACTTTGCAGCCGCCTTGGCTGGTTGAGAGTGAGGAGAAGAGACAGGCGATATAAATTGCACGGCTGCAAAAGGACTTAAAAAAACCCATCTCTCATTTTGATTGATATTAGCTTCACAAATTAAGCTTTAGATTTATCTAAAAATAAATTTGCTTCCGCGCTCCGCATTCTGGATGACAAGTGCCTTTCTCTTCCCTTTGTTGGGTTTGTCAGCGGCGGCACGGCGCTGCGCAGCGGCAGGCGGGGGGCCAGGGGGTGGCCGTGCCCGAGCAGACCTGGGGGGGGTCAAAGGGGTGAAATAACCCAGAGGGGCCGCAGGGCAGGGCAGGGTGGGAAAGGGGCAAACGCACGCCCCGAGGCCACCCTGCAGCCCCCAGAGACACCCTGTGGTGTTGACACCCTGGGGTGTCACCGCGGTGGCCGCGGGGTCCCCGTCGCCACCCGGCCATCGCAGGGCGCATCTCGAAGGCGCAGGGGGCCTGGGGGAAGCAGCATCCCCAGCCATGTAAAAGCCATCACAAGCACATCCCTGCACCTTCAGGACTTGGGAATTTGCACGGTGGGGAAAAATTTATTTCCAATGGCACTGGAAAATCCCGTGCCTGTCCCCAAGGTGGGGTGGGGGCACACCGGGTGCCCACGCTGCCCGGCCAGGCCCGGTGTGCCCGATGGGGATGTGCCACCAGGCGTGGGGAAAGCAAAGTTTATCATTTTCAAATAACGTCTCACATGAAAGATGGAGCCGGCTCAGCGCCTCATTTGATTATGCAGCGTGAGCCGAGAGCTGAAACCTCAGCCTCTCCTAAGTAGTGATAATGAAACTTATTCATTCCCTCACCCTGGGGAAATACTTAAACCACAATATGAGAGATATATGTAAATCACATTTAAACGGAGACAGTGCAGTTAAAGCTAACGGCGAGTAATCAAGTCGGAAGATGAAGTGCCCCCTTCTCTGCTCTAGCATTTGCTCGGCTGCTCCCACGGCCCCGCGCGGTGTCACGGCACAGCAGGGCACCCAGCCCAAAGGGGTCCCACCACAAAACCCCCCCCGGCTGCAGGGCACGGGGCGATGCAGGGGGTCGTGGCGAGGGGCAGGAGCACGGGAGGAGCCCCCCAGGGAATAACACCCGGTGGGACGATGGGGTGAAGGCTGGTAGGTGTAGCACTGCTGCCCGCTGGCCTCAGCAGCAGGTGGGCAGGGGGTGCGCGGTGCCCCCCCGGCCTTTATTTGCTCTGCCCGCTGGCTCTGACCCAGGTAAGAGGGGTCCCAGGTCCTGCAGCCCACCTCCCACCGCCTCCCACCGCCTCCAGCAGCTTGGGCAGCACCCAAGGGGGCTTCAGACCCCTCCAGACTTCTTTTTTTGGGGAGCCTCGGCCCCGCGCCTGCCGCTCCCCAACCCCGCACCTCGGAGGCTTGGGCAGGGGCCGGCGCTCGGCACCCAGGGGTGGGCTTGGGGGGACCGTGGGGGCTCGGAGCCGGCATTGCGCGGTGTGTGCTGCCCCCCCGCGGGACCGGGCTGCAGCCGCCAGCAGCCTGCACAGGGGCTGGGCACGAGGACCTTGCACGAGGACCTTGCACAAGGTCATTTGCACAAGCGCCGTGCGCCACAGCCGTGCGCCACAGAGCTGTGCTCTGCAGGCTCGTGGGCAGAAGAACCGAGGCGAGGAGGACACCACCAGGCACCACAGCCCACTGCAACCCCAACCCTGGATGTCCTGGTGGGCACACGCTGCCCTGTGCCGTGCCCCGTGGGCATTTCCCAGCTCTGCGCAGCACAGGGCTCTGCTCCTGCCCCGGGCAGGTCTGTCTGTCTGTCTGTCTGTCTGCCAAGGGCTGTGAGCCCAGGGGGCTGTGCCAACACCCACCCACGGCACGTGGAAATCTCGCTTGGACACTTCCAGCCCCCCGAGGGCTGCGTTTTGGCAGCGGTGAGCCAAGCTGACGGTGCGTTAGTGCCACGCAGGGAGAGGTACGGGGCAGGGGCAGGCTCCTGCGTGCTCCTGGGCCAGCCCTGGCAGAGCAGCTGGCACGGCACGGCACGGCACGGCACGGCGTGTTGTGGCACGGCACGGCCTCACGTGGCACAGGCACGCATGGTGCGGGAGGCAAACAGCTCCTGCCCCCCTCCCCAACAGCCTCCTGCAGCGACGTCCTCCCAGCCGACACCACTCCATGACACGAGGACACGGCCCCTGCAGGTCACTCTTTATTACTAAATAAATAGTCGTATAAATCTTGTGCAAAAACGTGTGGCAAAAGCCCTTGGCCGTGCTGCGAGGGGGGGGCTGTGCTCCCAGCACCCTGCCCCGTGGCAGAGGCCCCCAGCACGGCGCAGCCGACGGCCCCAGCGCAGGGAAGCAAAGCGGCGGCACTGGAGCTCGTCGGGGTGAGCCAGAGACCCCTGGCACCCCCGGGCCATCCGGGACCCCCGTTGGGATGGACACCCACCGGGACAGGCGGCTGCTGGAAGGGACGGAGGCTGCACGAATCCCTGAGGAACGGACGCACCGGGGAGCGCACGTGGGAGCCGTGGTTCTGCGGGCCGTGCCGGGGCCGTGCCGGGGCAGAGTCCGTCGGCTCCGGCACCGTGGTGCTAGAGCGGGGAGCTGGGGGCCTGCCCGTGCCGCCGCTCCCGTGCCTCTCCTGTCCCCAGTGTCCCCAGTGGCACCACCACCTCCTCCGGCGGGCAGCTCTTGTTGAGCTCCACCACGCGCGGCACCACCGTCGACCAGCGGTCTGCGGGATTGGGGTTCATCAGAAATGGGCACCCCGCAGCTCTCCCCTGCACCCATCTGCTCCTGGGGCTCAGCGGAGGGACGAGCAGAGCCCCGAGGGATGTCCCCAGCCCACGCTCACCTCTCCGCAGCCGGCCCACGGTGTGGGAGAAGCCGTAGTACTGGT